TATAGTACTAAGAACATTGAACTTCATTGTGACAAAAAACATACGGAAATTGTTACCAAATTCGCTTGGTAAATAATTTTTCAAAAACAAAAAAAAAAAAAATATATATTATGTTTTGATAAGTTGATAGGACCGTCCTTAATTACTATGCCAAATATGAGCGTGCTCTGTGTACCAATTTGTTTACAGCAGCTGTTGCGATTTTTACAATGGATAAAAGGGTATGATGTTTTAAAATCGAAGCACGAGAGCTCGTGATCTCTCGCGAGTTCGTTCGAATTTTTTGCTCGATCATAAGAATTCCCATCTCACATTTATGAAGAGCATAATTACTACCGATGAGACAGAGGTTTATGTGTTTGACATGCAAACAAGTCAACAACCATCGGAATGGAGGGAAAAAACGAGCACAAATCAAAAAAACTACACCAAAGCCGCTTAAAAATGAAGGTGATGCTCTTTGCTTTTTTCGATATTCTTGAATTTGTTTCGGAAGGGCGTTATTAAAACTAATTCGAATTTAATACCAAAAACGCAATGAATACCATCGATCAATAACCGTATTCACCAGATTTGGCTCCATGGGATCTTTTCTTTTTCCCCAAACTGAAATTGTCGTTCCATGGAACCCGTTTTCAATCGATCGAGGGGATAAAACAAAATTCGCTGAAAGAGCTGAAGGCCATCCGAAAAAGTGCTTTTGAAAAGCGTTTGGGATGCTGGAAAAATGGTTGGCTTAGGTGTATTACATCTGGCGGAAATTACTATATTTAGCATTTTATTAACAATTCCGAGTACCGAGTTGCGAGTTTGGTCACAAGCACTAGGAACATTTTTATTTTTTTTACCACATTTCAATTAATTAACTAATTAAATTACTTTTAATTCAATTTGTGAAACTTATGGACCATTTATCACTTGCTTAATTAAATATATTACTTTAAAATATACTCATACCACTATTCCGCAATATCTTATCGATTAATAGTGAAATTCTAGAGATAACTTAATGAAGTATCTTAAAGTAATTAAGAAAATAAAAGCCAATATGGTAAACACACACAGACATATAGGTATGAATATTTGTTAGTACTCAGCACTTATAACGTCAGAGATGGGGTTAGAAAGAGAATTCATAGAGATTAGTACTACAATCACTAGAAAAAAAAACAAACTACTACAGACATGGTGAAAGGAAAATGAATTTTGAAATGAATTCGATTAACTACGAAATAGAAGTCACACTTGATGAACTTGAAAAATACTTTTTTCTAAATGGTGAAGAGATTAATGTCAAGCACATTGGTTAGTACAGTTTAAAAAATAAAAGGACGAATACAATTGGAAGAGTTGAAGTAGTTTTTTCAGTATTTCGAGAAGTTATATATTTGTATGCATGCAACTACGCCCACCCATATTATTAGTATTATATAAGTACAACATACAGAGAGAGAAATATTTTTTTGTGATAATTTAGAAAGATTTGCCATGGTGGGGGGACACTTATACACAAAACTTTTTTTTGTAAAAGTTTCGCTTAGTGGGCTCAAGTACGGTTAGTTAAGTGCGCCTGCTTGCTCGGCATAAACACAATACACGCAGCGGCGATTTTGTGGGCAACACAATCTCAATTTTAAATTTCACCTTAAAATTGCAAACGGACTGCTGGGCTGGAAACAAATGCGTTTTACTCTGTCAAAGTATATCAGGAGCAATAGACTAAAATTCGAGTAAATTTCTATATATTTACTTCTCAGGAATCGAAATGCTTGTATATAGCACACTTTTAGGGGTTTCAGACGATGTGGTTTGGTTTCGTGCTATATATAATTGAATGTGAATGTTTTATACGGGTTTATATGTAGATATTATATGTACGTGGAGGCCTCAATGGTTGGGTAGAAAACATCTCAGTATGCGTTCATACGGGTTTAAACTGGTGAACGGTTCATTTCACCTTATATATTGTATACCTGTAGGCACTAATAATATAATTTTAGTTTGTAGATTTGGTGTTGTGCGTAGCTTTTGCTTATATGTAAATGAATGAGTACCTACGACACACTACGACATACAGACGCCGGCACGTTTTATAGTTGTTATTGATGACATTTTACCGCTACTTTAAGTTAATGATATTTATGCGCCTAAAACTATGCTTGCTTAAATATAAATGCATATATGTAAATACCTAACGCCTACACCTACACCTACTCACACACTCATATATGTATATATATACGTATGTATGCTATACATTGATGTACAAAAATATTTATATTATTTTGTTGTAATATTTTAAATTTTGTTTTGTAAATATTTTAGTAAAAAAAAGTTACACACAGCACCTACACAATAATCCTGTGTAAATTACAAGTATCACAATTACTAGTAATCATTGTTTCATTACCTCTCGACGCCCAACAAAGGCAAAAAACAAAAAAAAAAAAAAAAAGAAATCACAAAAAAGTATACTTCGTGAGCGGGCAAAGATTTGGGAAGCACTTTTGAAAGCACTTTTTGGAGTACTTTGGAAAGTACTTTCCCAAGCACTAATTGTTTTACATTTTTTTCTATTTTTTTTATTAACATTCGTTGTGGTTTTTGCTAACATTTTACACTCAAAGGTACAGTACAAATAAATTATCGTTTTGCGTTTGCTTTGCCATCTTTACTATGTTAAGTTTACTATATTTTTGATATTTATAGAAAAAGCGGTATATTTTTTTTTTTGGAAATATATATGGAAATTAAAGTGTTTTGGTATGCTTTTCAAATGTTTTTTTATACGAAAAAAATTTCTTTGCAAGCTTAGAGTGGACTTTGGTGGAAGGAGGGAAACGTTAAAAATGGGTTTTGAAATAAATTTTTGGGGGAAAAGTGCATGTGTAGGTTATTTGTGGTTGCTGTTTTGAATATTATATAGTTTAGGTTCTTAGTTTCGTGAAGATCAGTAAAAGGCTCAAGTGTGGACAGATATTTGTCGATCGAAGTATAAACTGTTTTCACATTTTTGGCATTTCAATATTTGCGTATGACTTTTATAGTTTTTGGTTTTTAATTAAAAAAATTCAACTAAAATACAAAATGTATTTTAATAATTATTTTTTACACCGAAAAGTTGTTTTTATAACGAAATGGTAAAAATTAAAAATTTTTAGGAAAGGTATCGTGCAAGCGAATAGATCATCAATTTAATTAATTCAATGAGCTAATTGATCAAACTACAATGTGACCAATATAGGACTTTTAGACATCTGCTTAATTGGGGTTTCTTTATAATTTTTAGAATTTTTAAATTTCTTCCATCTTGGATTGCTTCATAATTTTTAAATTTTTTTCAAAAGTATATTATTGGACAGTTTGATAATTGACTAAATTAAGTGGCTAATTAACTCAATTAAGACTTTTGAGTTTTCTATGAACGTATTATTGTGAACAACTTGTTAATTGACTCAATTAAGGAAGGCAATTGCGAATTAACTCAATTAAGATTTAGTGTTTCAAATAATATTCCGTTTGTTTTTGCTTCATAATTTTAAAATTTTTTTCAAAACGTATATTATTGGACAATTTGCTAATTGACTAAATTCAGCCGATAATTAAATCAACTAAGATTTATTAGTTTGATTGTTTAGTTTTTTTGACCGTATTATTGTAGACAATTCGTTAATTGACTCAATTAAGTATATCATTTAATATTCCTCTTATTT